GGTGAAAAAAAATTACCAATTCTTATATTATTTTTAAAAAAAATTACATTTTGTTATTTTCAATCGAATCTTTTAATCGAAATGAAAGAAAAAACAGTTTCATATGTTCGAAAACCAGATTGTAATCCATTAGGCAACATTCCAAAGTCCCCATTCTAGACTTATACAGCCGTGTAAAAGAAATATTAAAAAAAAAAAAAAGACAAGCAACTGTTATCAGTTTCAATTTCGCATTGTATATCACTTTTTTTGTTTTTTTAAATCGATATCAGATTGGGGATATTTATAAATGGCTGTGTACAACACGTCTCTCTGCAGATGAGCGATAACATAGAACGATATAGCGAGTTTGTTTTATCAACGGTTGCACTCGATAAAATACTTCAGACTTTGAAAAAATATATATATGTAATGTAAGAAATCACGATTTTCTCCTAGTTTCGAGTTCTATACTTAATAAGAAATTTATATAAAAAATTCGAAAGTTATCGTATACTTAGTCTATATCTCAGAATTATCATATTATCTTATTAACGCATATTTAATGGAATAGTCTAAATATAACAGTAATTTAATTTTCTGCCAGCGTATAATTATAGAATACTTTAATTTGTTTGCACGGTAGCCAAATTATAAATGTTTACGCTCGTCCAGATTAAAAATTTAGTGAAGAGATGATTAATTTACTAAAGAATATATTTGCATTTTAAAAGATCGCTCGGTTGATAATTGATATGGCGCGTGTTTATGTGTATGGGATTGGCCCGAACACCAAATTCTATTCGCCTTCGCCTGAGGATATGTTACCACAAAGTTTATTCTCCGTCGTTAAGGTTAAGACGGTGGCGACAGGTGGTGCGATATGTCGCGCCCTTCTAAACAGAAGTCGCACGCGTTAAACGTTACGCTAAACACCCGATATGAAGTATTAAGTGTTTGTTAAAATTTTACACAATGTTTCGTAATGTGTCGCAACATTCAACAATCGATTTCTACGTTATTTAAAAAGTTACGTTAAGTTTTGTATGTGAATAATTATCATACATCATAAAATACTACATTAGACTTCGTGTGTTTAATCAATTATATATTTTTAATAATACGTTAGTATAAAATTGATGACATAAGAAACGAACGTTTTAAAGTACATAAAAATTGAGTACAATATATTACTCAATTTTTATGTGCTTTCAAATGTTACGCTACATCTCATATATCATCAATTTCTTTGTTATTAGATCTATTCTTCAGATGTAACGTTACCCATAGAGTTTTGCCTTCAATTTCTGTGCTTTAAAATTTCGTATTTATTCTTAAATACGATTTAATTCTACGTTCTATGAAATGTTATATTATACGTTGTGTTACATTCTTTTAAAAGACTACGTATTGCAAATAACCAGTTCTGCATTCGCTAAAACGTTACGTAATCCTCCATATGTGATCAATTTATATATCATAAACGTCACGACATCGCGTATTATCAATTCTAGTTTTTTCTTAAAATGCTTCTATACAAATCGTATATAATCTTTTACGAATGTTGCTAAAATGTAACTCCATGCTTGTGATAAGTTTATGTTACTTAAAACACTATCCGATCTTTTTTTTAGTGTTTTGTTTAATGCCTCGTGTTTTTACTCATCCACACTACCGAAATTAAACTATTTAAATGTACAGTACAGTATCAGATTCACCAAGCTCTATAAAATTCTCGTAAATCTGATTCGCTTACAGATCTACATTTACACACCAAGTAGTTTATAACAGCATAGCTATTAACCTGTTATTTTTATTTACAGCGGCTCAAATTGTATATATAAATCTCACCCCAGTAGATAAGGCGACAGTTATTGATTAATAAATATCAATAATTTTTATTTAAAATGTATTTATTATTCTAGAGCAACCTTATTTTTTTTCTTGTTTAATTTTTATTTTTCCAGATGGTGGCCACGTGTATGAGATTTTGACGTTTAATATATACTACAGAAAGTCCTTAATAGTTTCTGACGTTCTTTTTTATATAATCTTATAATATATATATATACTTTGTTTTTTTTCGGTTGGAGTGATGATAAACAACGTAACATATAGAAGACAAGTTCATAAAGATTCACAAATCTGTCGTTAGTTATTTATTGATAAGTACAGAGTCGACAATGACAGCCAAATGACAAATATATTACAGCCTGGCAGCTTTCAGTTCTTTATGGAAATGCGGATCTTGTTTCATAAAAGATGATTATTGACAAAAGAGTTTATCCTCTCCCACTCCTTTCGAAGGGGGGAAGGAAGAAGAGAAAAAATCGTTTGAAAAATGACAAGTGGTAGTCGTAGGATCTATAAAATGTAATTTCTTTGAGTGTTCGAGTGCTATAACTTATCACTTAAAATCACTTTTTATTTTCTTGTTTTTTTTATATCGGCTCGAATACACAAGATGTTTTATTTGCTAACTCATTAATTTGATGAAGTTTTGCTCACATAAACGGTATCTTCCAGATGGATTTTTGTATGCTTGTAAATAAAGATGGTAAGGACAGTAGCTAAAGGTAGTGTGGTAAGGGAATTTTGCTGCCATTTAATTAAGGAATCGTGATGTATAATGACAGATGCGTATATTTTTGATGAAGTTTAATAATTAAAAAGCCACCGTCCAATTTTAATTTTTATAAATTATGATATAAAATGACAGATCGACGTTAAGATCTATCAATATTAATATCCGGAAAGATATTTTACCCTGTTTAGTTGTACATAATTTTCACGTGGCTACTTAATCTTCCTCATAAATGCACGTCATTCTATTAAGATTTGATGACATTTAACTATCAGAAAATAGGCCACAATTCTTTTAAATACAGAGAATAATCTTAAACAAGAAGGTATTGTGAAAACAAGAAAAATATGAAGTAGCGAGTGCTCTTGAGAATCTTCCAATGGCGACGTGTCGGGGTGAACCTCAAAGTAAAGACGTGGTCAGAACTACACGGGACGACAATGCAGCTATTGATAATGGATCCTATCCGGACACTTGTGAGCGTGCATGAATGAAGAGACTTAAAGATGGAGCAGTCATTCATAACTTGCACAGGGCCCTGTGAACCTGGCCCATTGGGCTAAACCAACTTCCTGAGCATGTTATCCTGAAAAGAGTGGGACGGGTGTATTTTGTAGCACGCGGGAAACGTTTCTTCTTTTTTTTTTGAGTGACCAACCAAGTGAGGTTTTGTTGTTGTTCACAGAAAAGAAACCTGCCTTTCAGAGTATTCTCTTGGGCCTTCTATCTAAATTGTTTCTTCAGTCGCAGTGTCAAGTTGAATGGTGACAACAGACGCTGGATTAAACCTCCTTTTCTTTAATCTATTATAGTCTGTTTACACTTTGATTTTTACGCCGATATTCCATTATTTTCATTCACTAGCAAACTTTTTCCTTCTCTTGAAGAAATAATTGATGAAAAAAATCAATGCACAATTTTTAACAAGACGTTTTCTTCTTCCTTCTAACTACATCCTTGAAACAATTCACTTAAAAAAAAAAAAGAGAGAGAGAGAGAGAGAGAGAGAGAGAGAAAGAAAGAAAGAAATTCATATTGAGAGTTTTATTATATTTATCAAATTAAAGCATTTCTGACATTTACTTTAAATCAAAATTATCAGTAAAATTCGAAATAGCGAGATAGAAGAGTAATACTTTGAAACACGCACAATAACGAAAAAAAAAAGAGAAAGAATTTTTCAATAAAGAGTAGAAAGAGGCGCTCAGTAAATTCTATATTAGCCATTCCGTGTCAATAAACTCCGCCCAAAGTCTTTAAACACGTGAGTAGTCAATGAAAATGTCACTAAACCCCGCCCAATTTAGTAACTTCATGAAAGTTTTATTCTTCGTCGACACGAAATTTTGTGTATGATAATGTTTTACGTTTCTTTTCCTTCTGAATACATAAATAATATATGGTATAAATTTTATCTCTGTTAAATATTTGCTCTATATATTCTATTTTTTGTGGTTTTAACAAATATTCCAAAACATTTAAAAATTTACGAGTATAAAGCTACGTTAAAAGTAATCGATAAAATCACAGAAATTGGCAAAGGAATATCTTTTCTGGTTTTCATTTTAAGTAATCGAAACTTATGCCAACGAAATATACAGTGTGTTTGTGTGTGTTTTTACAACACCCCAATAGAGAATAGACTCAATTGTTTTATAAATTTAAATATTGAAACTAGGTTCTAACAATAAAGCATGCTGACGATATCCATATTTTTAAAATTTTACGAAGCAAACCACAGCGCTCATAAAGACATTTTAATGGTAAACAGCGACTAGGATAAACTTTATATAAATATTTTATATTTATCTTTCGGTTAAAGAATAGAAAATAAATACATATAAACAAATACAACAGTATAAAATAAATCTATACAATTAACATCATTATCTTGTCAAAAATCCGCGACGTTAATATATACGAGTGGCAGTGTTAATATGATAAATTTAATCACCGAAAGCGTCCTTAATAGGTGACATTTATTCGTTTGGCAGCTACAAAAAACAGAAGTAAAAATATATACAGGAAAAATACAATAAAATATAGGCTAAACGGCTATATATAATCTGGTCTTAATCTGTTTTTAGAACCTTTTAAAGCGCATTACCATAATTTTTAAAGTGCATCATCATAAATTTTCGGAGTTTTAACTCTAAAAAAAAGAACAAAAATATTCTTAAAATTTCTGAAGTATTGTACAAATTTAGGATAAAGGTATAATTTTTAATAACTCTTATTGCAATTTTTTAAAGCATGCCAATAAAATTTAATATTATTATTATTTTTTTTTTTGAGGCACCCCTTTATAAGAAATTAGAGATCTATTCAAAAATGATCGATTTAATGGCAAAAATCGATTGCTGCAAGTCCACATATCTGTTATTATTGGTCAGATTTCATTGCTGTAACCGAAACTAACATTTGTACTAATCATAAATCGCTTTCAGAAAATGGATAGAAAATAAAGAAATAAATTTACCACTTCCAAGAAAAAATTTAAAAAAAAATAACAAATAATAATAATAACAATAAAACTCCTTTTATATTTTATACAAACAAAAATAATAATAGTTTAAAAAAAAATTTAATTTAAAACCAGTTTATTGACATAAATTACTAGCTTAGCGAACAATAACATAAACTACTTTCCTTAAGTGATATAAATATATGACATACCACTACGATGATTACCTTTTAAAACCATAACGATCGAGCAAGTTCCCCCGAAGCTGATTTTAAACAAGGCGATTACAACGTGAAAGTAGACGACTCTTTTAAAATTGATAACAGTCTTCGAGTAATGAATGCCAGAAAAACGTGCTCTTTACTAATTGACATGCTATGACGATCTACCTTGTGATTCTGACATTTTTATCTTGATCTATCATGTATTTTTTTTTTGTTACTTATTTTTTTCTTTCTTCTGGTTTTCGGGGAAGTCAAATAAAAACGATGGTTGTTAAAGAAAATGACAGATAATAAATCTAACATTAACTCAACACTGTTGAAGAACAAGGATACGAAACTTGCAGAGGTCACATACAGGGAATGGTATGAGTGTACCGTTATTTTGTTTCGTACAAAAATCGAGGTCATGTGTCGACCTAGTTCGATACTTTATTATACAGAAAACATTTTCCCCTGGCCACATGTCACTCGATGGTGAGGTCTGACCGACCGGACTGTGGATATAAAAAATTCATCAATTTTTCACACCGAGTCGTATCTAGATCCTAAACGACGTTCGATTTCTTCTATAAGAAAAAAAAATATATATATATATATCATAGTGGGGTGGTTATAGAGAGCGTGACTTGCTTTAATAGATTATTATATATTTGTATGAAATGAATTTGTTTATTTTTTATGAAGATAATATAAATTTACCTTCTAAATAATATTATTAATTTTAATAGACGTAGCTTGGCCTCTTCAAAGATACCGAGATTGGGCGGAGAAGGTGGAAACAAGGTCGCTTGGAGGTTACGGGAGGCCGGATGAAACGATACGTATCCGCCTTGTTTATTAGCTTCTTCTATGGCTTTTAAGGTTAGCTTCTTCTTATATCATCAATAAAATAGCTTTTTACAAAAGTAAACAGGAATATTTGATTCAGAAAAAACCACTATCAGAATGTTTGAATCCTTATAGGGGTAATGTTCCAAGCTGAAAAGAAAAAAAAAATCCGTTTATAAAGCGATCCGGAAAGTTTCTAAGATCTAATATACACTGTATCATCAACTTACATATATATAGAGGTAAGTTTTAATGCTTTCTGATAGGATAGACATATTTATTTTCGAAAATTTATCAAGAAAAGCATCTTGTTTTAATAAGGTGTGAGCAATGCAAATTTTATGATGAGCTGTGAAGTTGTTACTCTATTAATTATTATTTAAGCTAAGTAAAAAAGTGCATTACTGTTTTAAAATGTATTCGGAAAGAATATAAGTGATTTTATTTCTGTTCTGATAGTAATCCTTGATATAATAAAATTTCAAGTGCAGGTGTCTGATAAGAGGTGCAACAATAGGGACTCATTAGCCTATTCTTCAAAACTAACAATCTACAAATTCACCTGTAAAATGCCAATCTATTCACCGAACACGAAAGCATTTCTCGCTATTATGAGTTTTAAAATAAACTTATTTCCAATGTTATATCGTAAATCTTGACCCAGTTTTATTAACATTAGTAAGGATAATCATCCAAGCGAACAAACATTGCAGAAGCATGTTACTACAGAGATCGGATCGAGACTTGTCAGGCAGTGTCATAATTGCTAACGAGCTGAATAATGATAGTGTCTCGTTTTTCTTTTTCTTTTCTCAGTAAAAAGAAAGAGAAAAAAAAATTTAACTCTGCTGTAACAAACTACTTTCTTTATATCATTAATCAGACTAAAAACAGAAAGTTGGCATTTTTACTCGCAGCCATTGTTTAATTTTAAGACTATCGATTGTCCTTTGGGATGATAAAACGTGTTGATGGGCGATCCCACCTTTTGAATCTTGCACGAGACAACTCGTTATGCAGCTTGTGGAAATATTACGTAAACTAAATCATTATGCATCTCTGAAGCTATCTTACATAAACCCACTTGTGATTACTCTCCAACTTGTTATGCAACTTACGATAATCTCACAGACTCAACTTGTTACATATTTTAACCATCTGACGTAAACAATTCGTTATGTATCTTTATGGTTATCTCACACAAGCGATCTTGTTATTATGCATACGTGAGACTATCTCATATATGCCAAACTCGTGTATGTACTTTTTATGGTATTCTCATACGAGTTGAATCTTCATGCAACTTGTGGCTTTCTCACATAATCTAACTCATTATACATCTTTCGGATCTCGCATAAGCCATCTTGTTACGCATTTTTTTCTGCGGTGGTATCGTACTACAAATCATTGGAGTAACTCTAACAAAAACATGAATATTCAAGATTCATTAACGAGCCAGAAAAAATCTCGTCACGTTGCATTTCTAAATACAAACCGAGGAAAGAAGTTTACACAAAATGATGTATTTAAACTTGATTTTTATGGTGTTTCGTTAGTGATGCCGGAGAGCAGGGGGAGAAAAAAAAGGAAAAAAAGAAACAGCAGCATCCACTTGTCGAGTGGTCGTATAAAGGAAGAAAAAAACGGCGGAGAGAAGCGAGTAGGCTAGTACATAAAGTGAATTTAGTGTTTAATGATTTTTACAATCTTTCAGATCTCCATTCTTTCACCTCTTCGCTACGCGCCTCGACGAAACAATCCAATCAATAATCCAGAAACAACACATCCCCAAGGAACGTACCAGCTGATCTGAAAAAGTCGTCAAAAGATGGAGCTCCGTCATCGTCATTTGAAAACTGAACTTGTTTCTCCGTTACTTAGCAACAACCAATCGTACCTACTCACTCAACCGAATAGACCAATAAGATGGCATCAAACCGTTTAGCTTTGTAGCGACGGGGAGATCTTACTAACCCGTGTCGAACTTTGAGACGAAATTATTCCATCCTTATCTAAATATTATTCAATTTGTTTCAACGTATGGATTAAATAATTGATTTCGCCGAGGTTTTCGACTTAAATCCGGATTACGGTTTTGTTTGAAATTGGTAAGGTGTGACGTACCGATGACGTCCGAGTCTAAATTCTCCCAACTTCGATGCTGATCGGTGATCGGCCATGTTTGAATCGTTCCGCAGATCAAACGATCAAAAATCGTTGTTTTTCTAGTTAATTCCCAAGGATTTTAGTGATCTATCAACGGGTGAATATCGTTAACAAATGCACATTGGATAAATGCCGCCTTTCGCCCATCAAAACAGTCGATCTAGACTATAATGTGACCAACCTATTTCCAAGTCGTATAGTCTGACTAAGAAAAGGATATTTAGTAATTGTTTTTCCACTAAAGTAAGTACCACGATTTTATTATTCCATACGTTAAAAAGCGTAAATAACTTCCCTGTCGTTTACCTATCTCGTATAACAAGTCATAAGGCGATATGAAGATGTTTACGATGATTCCTTTACGTCAACCAATCCTATTCTTTGTCCGCCATTTTCGGTAATTTCAGTTTAGATTCGACTCGAAATTGCTTTCTCGTTCCGATTTCGGAATCTCTTTAGCTTTCTTCGTTAAGAAAACGTTCTACAGCTTTTCTATCTTTAACGCCGTTTCGTGGTTTACGAATGTCACGTGGCGAAAACGATTATTTTTCGACATTTAAATTTTAAATGTCGAAAAATAATCGTTTTCACCACGTGACATTGGAAAACCACGAAACGGCGTTAAAGATAGAAAAGTTATAGAACGTTTTCCGGTTAAGTTTGGCATCAACACACTTTCCCTTTAATTTTAAACTCCCCGAATGGTTTGGACGTTAAAAAACTGCTACTTATGTAATTACACGTTGAAAAACAAAAGGAAAAAAATTGCAAGGTTTCTACAGATTATCATCTAAGTAGGTTTATATGTCACTCAAATTGGTAAAGATTCATATACATATGGGGTTTTACATGAGATTTTTGCTTTTGAAAGTAAATGTGTGTTTGATTTAAACGTTCCTTATCAATTAAACTGTCTATCCATTGATAATATCGTTAATTTATATATAAAATTGTATTGAAAATTTTTAAAAATTCCAGAAACATGTGTGCATGTTTGTATGTGTCATAATGATTAAGCAAAAATATAAGTTTAACTTGTTTTAAATCCTATTAAATTACATAAATATATAGTACACTTCTATATATGTATTTTACACTAAAAAGAAAAATATATGTACCAAATATATATTTTTTAAAAATCTGAAACAGATTCTGTTTGGAGTGTAAACATTTTGAGTTTGAAATTTCCAAGACTTAAAAATAGAGAAATTTCTACTGTATAAACTAATTTTAAACTAATTACTCTAATCTTTCTTTCAATGTGGAATTTTAAAAGTATTTTTAGATATTTGAATGATTATGCAAATAAAAAAAAATAATAATAAGTATGCATAAATTATTTTTAATCATTTAATTGAAAATGAAATATTGTAAATATCTGTGGTATTTAAATAGAATCTTAGATTCATAACAAATTATAATGGACAGTAGGTTTATATATCATTTAAAGTGATAAAGATTCTCATAAGCTATTCTTGGTTTTCGAGATTTATTATGCTTATAAAAAATCCAGTTTTGACGTTTAATGATTATCATGTTTAGAATAATAATTTTCGAGCCATCAATGAATGATCCTCAGAAAAACTTGTTTGATAATTTATGCCTGTTGCAAAATAAATATTTTTATTTTAGTTCAGAGTGAATTTTGACATCATTGTAATGTCAGAGTTGTATTCCAGTACTTTCACTTTTTAATGATATTTATGAAGTCTTCAATATTAATTTATCTTTAGTTTTTTCCCCCTCTTTACATTTAGTAGGATTCACTTATGGGGGAAAAAAGGGAGATAATTAGAATGACTGTCTCGTGATTAAGCATGATTAAGTCTGAACAAATTTTTTTTTACTTTTATTTTTTTTAGAATGTTTAAGCTTCATTTAAATTGTATTGAATTGAATTATTTATTAAATCCAGATTTTTATTTGTTTATTTAATTCTCTCATTATTTGAGAATTTTATGGAAACTTTAAATTGAATTTTATATATTTAGAGGAAAAAATTCTATTTTTGTTTATTTTGCTTTCTTAATGTAATGAGTTTGCATCAGATAATTTTAAAGTTTTTTTTTGTTTTCAGTTACATAAATAAAATACTTTTAAAAAATTGCAGAGTATTCGTGTTGAAATATTATTAATAAAAATATTAGAAAATGATAATTTCTGATAAATTCTGAAATTTTCTATGAAGCAGAATATTTGTCAATAATAATATTCCAAAATACCATATTAGTTTTGGTTTAGTAAGAAAAAAAACTACAAAATGTAAGTAAGTATTTATTTCACAAGTGAAGGTCAGAAACTTTTAAGATGGGATAAAATAATTAAAATTTTTAACTAAATTTGTTTTTCAAACACGCTTAAATATTTGAAAATTACTATCATTTTAAAATAGGAGCTGTATGTATATGTATACATAAGCACGTGTACTGTACTTGTGTATACAAAAATGCATTATATATAATGTTATATTTTGAAATGAATTTCTGTGTTTATAAGGTTTAATAACCTGTTGATGTGTTGAAAAAGTTTTCAAATATAGGGGAAAAAAATGTTTTGAAAATCTAAAAGCCACAGATTTGAATAATTATGTTATAACTTAATCATATGTGTTTGTCTGCTTTATTTTTATGAATATTTTTAGAATAAAGAAGTAAAATAAAATACTGTAACAATTTTTATTTTTTCATTATATCATTAAATGAAGGTGGTATTGTATATTTTTGTAGAATTTAATTTACATATATACATTACAAACTCATTTATATGTAAGTTTTTATTTATTTAAATAATACTAAATGCGGTTTTAATGGAATACTTTATTATGATTATTTTTATAAAACATAATGATGTTATTACTATTAAATTTTAAAGTATTTTGCTGCCAAATAGTTGTTGTTATTTTTTACTACATATGCAAATATTTATATATATATATATATATATATATATTCAGAATTAAAATGATAAATATATTTTAATCTTAACATATTTCGTTAAGTTCAATTCTTCAAATATACAGCAGAGATGCCAACTGGGAAAAGGGCTATCAGTAGT